TTAAGGATGTTCGACACCCTTTTAGCCAAAATTGACGTTGTTTTCATTTTTCTGGCAAATTATCGATGGGAGTGACGTGAAAAAATATAACGATTTTGTGGTTTGTCATTCTTTAATGGCTCACGAAGTTGCGTAGTGGTGCGATAATTTTCATGCGTTTTTTACAGTTTTGTGATTCTTTTTAAAAGTTTAGAGAAAACGCAGGAAAATGTTCGCACCACCTTAAAATTTCGTCAGTCATTAAATAATGACAAAACGCAAAAACGTTATATTTTTTCACGTCAATTCCATCATAAGTTTGCCAGAAAAATTAAAAAAACGTGATTTTTGACAGTAAGGGTGTAGAACATCCTTAAAACACAAATAGAAATCAAATTTTATTTTGAATAAAAGCTTTTTGACGAGCTATTCGAATAAACCTTTTTATAGGATTCGAATAAAGTTTACTCAATTCAAATTAATTCCTCTGGAATTAATTCAGAGTATCCGATATGATATTCTACCGAATTTTCGATCAATTGAAAATTGCACGATATAATATTCTGAATCATGCTAATTTCCACTCGTTTTCACAGAAATTCAAACCTTTTATTGATTTTATCTTGAAACCGTCGTTCTTCAATGTCCAAATTCCCTGAACTTTCCTTAAAAATTCAACGGAATTTAACCTTCGTTAAAACTTTTCAAAGCGTTGGAGAATAAAAATTGAACGAAGATACATTGAATATGCTCCATGTATATTTCTCCATTTTCAATAATTAATGGGGTAAAATCAAATTATTGCGGAGTGAAAAAGTTTCGAGTCCCTGGGGATGACACTGAGGCGGTATCTCCTGTGGTCGTTGGTTCTTACCGGATGGAAAGATATTCCAAGAGGGGTTGGAGAAGAAAACTGCAATCCCGCTTCACTCCCAGGGTTGGCAAAGTTTAAGTTGTTCGTATAAAGAGGGGTCTTCGAACGGGACGTTTAGCTGGGAGAGGAGGCATAGAATGGGTATGCAGGGCGTTATTTTATTACCATTCTCCTACATCTCACACCCTCGAGACGTTTGATGGCGTGCACCTTCCCCTTAGGTTAAACTCACGCACTGGGAAGGGGACGAGATGGCGTTTCACCCCATCTGGCAATTCATTTTCAGTGCTCTCTGCACCTACTCGTGGGGATCTCTTCACTGCTACCCATTAAAGATCGGGCATTCTCTGGCTCGGTAGGTGGAAAAAATGTTAGAGTGACAGCGCAAGCATCTTCGGTCTTGGTAATTCGGGTGGGGGAGGAAAAAAGCCGAGTCTTGGGGGCTTATAAATGAAGTTGAAAGCGATTCTTGAAGTTCACTGGACACGAATGCCAGCCGCTCAACTGACACGGAATTCAATGCGACGGGGCTAAGAGCGTAATGGAGGGGCTTCATTGTTCAGGGGTAAATTGGCACAGATTGAGATATTGGAGATGTGGATTTTTTGAATTATTAGTTGCACTTTTGCAAATTTTTGCGTGAATTTTCTGGTCTTTTTTTTCATTTGTTGTGAAGTGAGAACTAGACTGGCATTCGAGGGAATTTCGTAATTAAAAATTGACACTTTGATTAATAGAAGATAATATAAAAAAATATACGATAAACGAATATTCACTAGAAAATTAATTTGAATTGAATAAATTAAAAAGAAAAATTAACTTTAAAACTAAAATAATAAATTTTAAATTAACTTTATCTGAATCCTATGAATAGATTTATTCAAATAGCTCGTAATAAAACTTTTATCCTAAATTAAACTTGATTTCTATTCGTATTTCAATTCAGGAATAAAATTTTAGCGAAAAAAAGTGACGGGAACGAATTTATTAACATGTAATTCCCTATAATCGAAAATTTTGCATCAAAATAAATACATGAGTTTATTAATTTTCAACAAAAGTATTGTTCAGATGAATAGAAAAATTTCAAATGGAGAATTCTATTCAATTCAAATGCATGATTTCTCTAGTTGAATGTTTAATTCAAAATTCCAATTAGTCTTCGTCTTATTCCTACGTATTTTGGCCCTTTACAGATGATGAAAATTGAATATAGCCAACAATATGGTTTAACATAGCCAATAAATGATTTAATCTACAGAGAAAAGTCGATGTAAATGGCGAATTCGCATCGCAACAAAAGTAAAACATTCGCTCTTTCGAGCCCTCGGGATGCATGATTGGCCATTTGTTTCGACGTTTAATTCGAGAGACCGTGCAGCGGAAAATTTTACCTCCGAGCGGCATCCCAGACAGCATCAAGATCCATTCTTCCCATTGAGTTTGTCTATTAAGCACTGGCGTTGATTAAACGGGGCAAGGGGCTGATCGCGGGGGTGAGACCTTGACGAATGCGCTTTAACGCTGGGCGACATTCTAAGTTGAACTTGAGAGCAAGTATAAATCGAGGGGGACTGGGGAGGGAGGGGGGGGGGGGGATGATGTTAACGAGATCTGAATAACTGGCTGACGAGACACAGCGGGACTGGGGTTACTTTCACGGCTGCGTAAGCAAGTGCAGAACTACTTGATATCACTCCACTTCAGGTCGTTCGAGGGAGACGGCTCGTTGGCGGAGTAAAATTGAGGGTCTGTGATGGAATGAATGATAAAATGAGAATTTGATGATCTTAGGAATTGTATTTGATGGAAGATTAGAGATAAAGAATTTGTACGGAAAATTTTGGAAATATTATTCATCACTGATAATTTCTTACATGAGCACGGGAAAAAAAAATCCTCGAATGTATATGATATTGTGGAATCGGGAATATGTGTATTCCGTAATTCGGGATACTTCATCCTCAATTTCGGAATAATATTCCGGAATCCGAAATATTTAATTCTCAATTTCGGAATAATATTCCGGGGACTTCCTCGCATTGAAATATTGCACGTTGCGTCTATAAGAGATGGCATGTACTGACGACGTGCCGTCCGAATTTAAGTGAGATCGGGCAATAATCCCGAGGAGCACTCAGGGAAGTATTTCATACGTTCTTTCTCCGCGGATTCCTCTTTCGGCTGGCAATTGGGGGTTTTGCGAATTATTAACGGGTTTCAAGGGGCAATTGGTCGTATTTTGTGACATTCTTTCGGGATTTTTGAATTATTATTGCCACCAGCACCTCCGGAACAGTTTGAAGTTGCTGGGAGGCCATTGAGCTCCTCACTCAGAACTGTTCCGAGTCACGAGTCCGAGACCTGCGAGATGGAGGTCTAGGAGGCCCCAAACTTGCACTTCGTCACAATATAATTGTATCACTTTTTTCTTTTCCTTTCCTTTCCTTTTTCCTCTTCTCTTCGAGTCACCAATTTGACGTACTCTATCATCTACAGAATGAATTTATCCCAATTTCGACTGAGAATCCATTTGAAAATTATATATACCGGATTCCGGCATAAAATTTTTATTCATTTATTATTAATTTTATAGAAAAATCATTGAAGAATCGGTGGGGCACTAAAACATTAAATTATGACGGAAATTAACTGAGACGAGACGTCTGATGCGATTATAACGACAAGATGCCTTTAATCAACTTTAATCCAATGAATCGTTCTCATTTTTTGATTCAAGTATAATACAGCCACTCAGGGACAATAATTCAATACATCCCTCTCGAAATTGTTCACGGAAGAAGCTCAGGAGCGATTCAATTCCAGTGCTAGTGGACTTGAGTGTATCACTTGGAGGAGATGAGAATCCGTCAAACCTAACAGAGTAGAGATCACAAGACTCGCATCGCAGTGTCTTACCGTATTGGCTCTTGGGAGCTTCCTCAACGGTTAATACATCAAAGTTTCGGAGAGAACCCGAGCAGACGTGATCGATTTAATCCCTCAGTCGTACACCAAAGCCGAGGGCCGTGCACATTAGTCATATAAAAATTGTTTTTTTGGAGTTATTTCTTGAAGAAGAAATTTTGTGAATTTTGTGGAATCATGCGTTGGCACAAATGGACGACAAAAAAGTCCTGAAATAGTCAATTCCATTTTTGGTAATTCTTCGTGAAAAGATGAAAATCCAAAACATACACTTTTCTTGAATTTTTAATATTCATCTCAATGAGTATGTTTTAGTTGTATAAACGAACTAAATTAATTATCATTAATTAACATTCTAAATGAAGAATTATTACATATCTATAAATTTGCTATCTCTCTTGAATAAACCCGTCATTACGAGCAATTAAAAAATAATAATTTCGGGTTTGCCGCTCTAAAACCTCTTTTTTCCAAAAATTTCAATCTCTCGGAGGTACACCCAGTCGCCATATCCCCATCAACCACGAGTATAGAATTCCTCTCCCCAAGATTTATCGCTCCCCCGAAAATTGAAAGTGATAAAACGCCTGCAGATGCTACCGTGTGCTGTTTTTGGAATAAGGATGTATGTGTATATGGATTTTAAGTACTCTCTCGTGCAAGAGCATCGTTTTTGGCTAGTCCATTCGGTCGCGAAATTATTAACGCTTTTCGTTTCGTCGTTGGTAAAACCTTCCCTCTGAAGCATCGTTAAACTGGGTTTTACGACAGCAACGCCCGTAAAACGACAAGTGGATGATCATTGAACTTGCGTTAAATTCAGGGTGGTCCTGAAAACATAACCCACTGCCCCTCCCCCTAGCCCCCCCCCAGCGCCCACCCTCTTATCCTCATTTCAGTAACGCTGAATGAAAACTACAGAAGTCGTTCGGAGCGCATTGAAAAAGCTTTTTCTCGTTTAACGTTCAGAAATGGAGTGAGGAAAAACATCGGTTTTATGAGGCTCACCTGACTCCCGACGATAGCAAATCGTTTCTGCAAATTTTCTCGATCCCGAGAGAATGGCAATGAGAGTAATACCCATGGCTTTATGAAAATGCTGTTTGAAATAATCTTACTATCCTGAGGAGAGATCAAAAGCGCATCATTTACTTGATATTTGATATTTGATAGCTGTAAAATTATGGACTTGGCTTCAATGTCTTTCCCTTGTTATTGTTTCAGAGCCGAACTTTGTTGGATCATTTGACATTGGACAGCACGTATTCTTCTTCTTCCGAGAGACTGCCGTCGAGTACATCAATTGCGGAAAGAGCGTATACTCGAGGGTGGCGAGAGTCTGTAAAAGAGACACTGGAGGAAAGAATATTCTTTCACAGAATTGGGCGACTTATCTGAAAGCTAGGTTGAATTGCTCGATACCTGGGGAGTTTCCCTTCTACTTCAATGAGATTCGTAAGTTTTCATGTTTTATTTCATCTCATTCAGTGGTAAACGTCTTTAGGGCTTCTTAATTTAGGAAAAATACGATGTTTAGTGGATTTGATTCACTTGGACGTTTAATACGAGTTTCCAAGAATTTTACAATTGACAGGTCTTAAAATCCTTCCGTTTCCCTTTTGTTAATTCATTCATTGGATTACATATTTGAAAAGTTAAATTACAGCAGTTTTATCCAATTTATTCATTAATCTGATTTTCAACGCAATATTAGAATTCGATATCAATTTTAAAGTTGGTTGAAATTCATAAAAGCATTTTTAATTTGTTGGGTTGTAGTATTTATCAACAGGTATAGTTTGATTTCAATATTTTCTAGATTATTAGTGTTTGGATGAATCAAGATAATTCAATTTGCTTCAGTTCATTTAGATATCACGATTTGAACGGTTTGGTTAAGATTGAATATTATTATTGGATGGTAGAAATTTTGCAAAAAATGGTGCCTCCGAAATAAGGCCAAGACTCTTAAGTTAAGAATGATATAACAACGGCTTTTTTACAACCTTTTTTCTTTTAACGTCTATTTTCCAGAGAGTATCTACAAAGTACCAGGCGATGATACTCACTTCTACGGTACATTCACGACCTCAACGAATGGCCTCATGGGCTCAGCCATTTGTTCCTTCCACATTGACGCCATCCAAGAGGCATTCCGTGGTAAATTCAAGGAACAGGCGACATCGAGCAGCGCATGGTTACCAGTATTGTCCAACAAAGTACCGGAGCCAAGACCAGGACAGTGTGTCAATGATACTGAAACACTACCCGACACTGTATTAAATTTTATAAGGTCACATCCACTTATGGACTCGGCGATATCGCACGAGAATGAGAAACCAGTGTTCTATAAACGAGATATTATGTTCACGAGGCTCGTGGTTGATAAATTGAGGATTGATTTCGTGGGAGTTGACCTGGAATACACCGTCTATTACGCTGGATCTAGTGAGTATTCTCATCACCCCGTATGCTGTATTCATTTCATGCTTTCCGTTTGGAATTTGGACACAAGTTAATGTCAAACTAGTTTTTCCCATCATTTCAATATGATTGAGGGCTGAATTTACACGAAGGTTGCTTCAATACTCACTGACGTATTCAATCACTCAAATCTATCCCCTAAATTTGTATAAGAACAACGCTGGCATCTACTCAGAGAAAAAGTTCTTGTTCTCCGTAACTTGACAGAACATGACAGAATGCTGATGATTTCCCAAATTTTTGAACAAATTTCCTGCCGAAAGTTATCGATATTCTTACAAAACAGATTAATCTCCAGGGGGTGATGATGAAGATCAATGTCCTTTGGATTAGAAAAATATTAATAACTTTGATCAACTGCCCCAATACTGCGCTTTACCTTCTAAAGGCATAAATTCAATTTAGAATTCTCAAATAGAGGTAAACATTGGAAAATATTGTGTACCGAGTAATGAGGTAATGATCAAACCTCACCAGCTCTTAGCGCATTGATAGAGTGATTCATTTGTTCCAAACCAGAGTCGTTAACTAATAACGAATGGTACAGTTTAATATGACCAAATAAATATTCGTTAATAGTTAACGAATGGTTCACTTGAGAGGTGAAAGTCGGGCCAAACATGGCTCCTCCATATCATAGATGACCATTTGGTGAGATCGAATAAACCCTAGTCTCGAACCAAATCCATCTGTTAACAATAACTATTCTCGACGCTGACGTTGCTGGTAAAATTCAAAAAAAATTGTGACTCTACGTACACTGAGAGAAAAACAAACACGTTGTCAAACAAATCTTGTTTGGGCCAACAAAATCGTTAGTTGAAAATTGCCAAAAAAGAATTTGTTGGGTTCGAATTTGAAAGTCTCAAACATGAATAATTGTTCTGCTTTCGACAGCAACGAAATATTTGGCTCAAGAGGCGGATAATTCACACTAGACGGTGCCTTTTCAGGCTGAAAATATCTCATATAGAGGAAAATTTATCAACAAATATTTTATCCCTAAATTTGAAAATAAAAGGAATTGTTGAAATGATGAGTAGATACAACTATAGTGTTCCCACTTTTGTCTCTGTCTGTATTTAAAAAAAAACAAGTAAATGTTCTCAACAAAATACCTCCTGTTTTCCAGGCGACGGTAGAGTCCACAAAGTCGTTCAATGGCTCGACAACAATGGCGACTCACAGTCAATACTTCTTGATGTATTCGACGTGACCCCTGGTGAGCCAATTCAAGCAATGGAGATATCCAAGGAGCATAAAGCACTTTACGTTGCCTCGGACCATCGCATAAAGCAAATCGATTTGGTTATGTGCTCAAGGCGATACGATAACTGTCTACGATGCGTGCACGATCCTTACTGCGGATGGGACAAGGACACCAATATGTGCAAGCCGTATGCACCAGGGTGAGTTGTAATTTCATGCTACAGTTTTTATGGATATCTGTTGGGAATAAAAAATTGCATATAGGGGATCGATGTTCAGTCGTGCGTGTGATTTTTTTCGGTGGGAATTCAGTATTTGCTCCAATATGTGTACGTGTCAAAATTGAACTTTTATTGAACCAAATGAAAATCGTTTTGGCAATAACTGATAAATAAAAACTGCACAGTGTTTTTTCATTCCCCATTTTCTACGTAGCGATTCCATCTATTCCTTCAGGTGGAACGCACTCGATCCGATTAAATAATTTTTTGTCAAGATTTTTGGTTATTTATTAGGTCTCGGTAACCGCTTGTAATTGACACTGTCAGCAATTTTTGGCGGAAATATCTACTTGAAACACTCCTTGAAAATTTATATCACAGTAGACCCACTGAATTTTCAAAGAATTTCTTCATTGGAAATTTAAAATTTTATGGAAAAGTAAATCTAAACAATGAATTTCAGTTTAATTATTCCATGAAAGTTGATCGACATCAGCAATACTGAGATAAACATGTTCTTGAAATTTCATGAATATTCATTTTTGTATGAAAATTCAAACAAGGTGAGGAATTCTCGTCTTGGCGTTGTTAACAAATCCAGAAAGTCATTGAATTTTCCGTAAAATTTGAAATTTCATTATTTTTTCTTTTAAATCGGATTCAATATAATTCTCTTAAAAAATGAACAGTCAACACTAGAACTTTCTACTAGTTTTTGGCCAATTCTATTGAAAGTAATCTATAGAAAACATCGCAAGTCAACTTCCTCGATCTAAACTGTCCTACTGAAGAAGTTATATAAAAAATTCCATTTATTTCTCTGTAAGATACTTTGTACTGGACATTTTCTACTAAAAAACGTGCAGTAAAGCTGCGGAATTCAGTAGAATCGCCCAAAAACTAACACAATTTTCAATAAAAGTTCAATCGAAATCAAAAAGTCCAATAGAATGTTGTTCAATGTTTTTCTAACAGCGTCATAACGAAGACCAAATGTAACGCCACATCAAAACGATCCACATTAACAATTCCCCTCCATCCTTAATGTTTCAGACTCCTGCAGGACGTCTCAAACAGCACAGCTGACGTGTGCGACAGTAGCGTGGGTAAGCGAAAATTGGTGGTAACATGGGGCCAATCGGTGCATCTCGGTTGTTTCGTAAAAATGCCAGAAGTACTATCAAACCAAGAGGTAAGATGGTATCACTACAGCAAAGAGAAGGGCAGATATCAGATATCATACAGATACGGTGCTGGTGGTGATAAATTCATTGAGACATCTGAGAAGGGTCTAGTTATTGTCGGTGTTAATGAACAAGATGCTGGTAGATACGACTGTTGGCTTGGTGGTGCATTACTTTGTTCATACAACATAACTGTTGATGCACATCGTTGCAGTGCACCAGCCAAATCAAATGACTATCAGAAGATATATTCAGACTGGTGTCATGAATTTGAGAAATACAAGTCAGCTATGAAGAGCTGGGAGAGAAAACAAGCACAATGTGCATCTAGACAAAATGATAGTAATCAGAATTTACATACGAATGAAGTTTATGGCACACCATTGGTGTGATCAAGCAGGTCATTGGAACCTTTATCAAACAGAGATTACGACACGATTATCCACATAAGCGTATTACCGAGAAACGGCGCTTCCTGCAATGTTCAGTGGTGTTGTATTACACTTTTATCCATTATCATCAATATTATTGGGAAGTGTGAGCATACATCGTGTTAATGAACTTTCATGACTGATAAATTCAATAACGTTTTTTGAATACTACAGTGCCATTTGGAAGGAGAGTGAAGGACACTCCTCTCGGGACTAGAATACGCGAAAACATTACACATTACTCCAGCCGTCATCGCATGCAAACGCACATCGAATTTTGCACTGTTTTTACATTTCTAGGGGTTTGATTCGTCTTTGGGGGATTCGTTGGGCTGTTTATGGCGCAGTTTATATAAATCAGGGCAGATATTCGACGGTGGAGTGTTTCTTGCGATGGGTTTGATGGACGAAACAGCAACTCTATTCAGTTATTTTGTATGAAGGGTTGATTTTTTTTAAGAATCCTGCATGCAATTGATGAAACAATTGAGCGGATTAGTTTCAGGTTTGAATGGACTTCTTTTTTGGTGATCAAATCGATTATTTTCAATAGTAGATGAAAGAGTTGAGGGTTTCGTTCATCATAACTGGAGGACCAAGCAATTTCTCCCGCAAAACGAGAAATTTGCCTTTTCTGGGGTGGATTGCCGTTTCCGCGTTTGCAACGCAAATGTGTGAAATACGCGTGAGATGAATAATCACGAAATAGAAAGAAAGAAAAAAGTATTCTCTGTTTTCTCAAACCTGTGATATGGATGGGTAGCCGAGGATACCCATGACGTTTTATGAGTGCTCCTATCGTGGGTAGAACTCAAATTGAAAAGCAGGAAACAATCATGACTTAAGAATGAAGAGTAAAGAAACGTGTTTTTCGTCTCGCAATTCCGAGGTTTAATGCGTGGTTGAACATTAAGAGGAATAAAAATGCTATAGGTAAACAAAATTTAAAAGAAATCATTAAGATTAGAGAGATAGTATTCGTATGGTTTAGGGCGTTGCCATTCTGTACGGATTAGTGGGATAAATTTTTGCAAACGAGACAGAATAAATCGGGTGCGTTGAATTATTCCAGCGCCATTAAAGTTACACAATGAGATTAAATTAGATTGACGGCTTATCGTGGGATACTCTTCACATGCATCACGCGCTATGATTTTATAATTTTAATTGATCCATCGATTTTCTGTACTTTGATTATCATTATTCGGGCTTTTGATTAATCTCCAGTATTTTGGTCACTCGGTAATAGAAAATGAATGGAAATTCGGAAACTGGTTTTGGCATTTTTAGGGGATACTTTGAATGTGGAATTAAACATTCGTTTTTAACAATTTGTTGGCCTGAATAGGCGCAGCTGTGCCGATACTGCAGTATAATCCAGGCGACCGCGTGTGGGTAATCCAAAATCCCGTTTACAATGGTGCTTACAATTACCAGTAAAAAAAACACATTCACATGCAATATCGGGTATGAGGCAGTTCATACACGCTTTCGCGGGTGAAAACCAATTACACACGTCCGGCAGTGCTGAGAATTTCTGGTTGAATTTATTGATAAAGGATTCTCAATAGCTGTCGAGGCTTCCCGAGTCTGAAAGATTACTGGAAAGTGGAACAAAAATCCTCATCAAGTATTAAATATTTTCTTTGGGTTATTTAGAAAATTCTATGCGTTTCTGTCATTTCTTGAGTCATCGGTGAATGTCATGAGCAGAATCGAATATAAATGATCTCGATGAATTAAATTTTACATTCTTATTTGATATCCATAGTCAAGTTTTATTTTTTCGAGGGAACTCATGGCGTTTTACTTCAATGTCACTTAGAATTCGAGTCATTAAATTCTGAATTCTTGAAAGTTATCAGAAATTTGGATAAAAAATTAATTAGCACAATTGAATATCACCAGCTTCAATGAATGAAAATTCCCATTCTCCTACAAAATTCCGCGTCAGTTGACATTAGTCCCAGCGGAATGGCCAAAATTTAGCGCAAACATTCGATGCCTCTGGAAAATTCGGCCTTATTTCATCACAATTTCCAACAGAAATTGAAAAAATTTGCGCATTCCTTGAATTTACAGAAACCTTCACCCAAAACTTTAGTCAGAAATTCTCGCCAATGCATACATTCCCCCCGCCCGTACAATTATTCATTCTCCCTTTTCATAACCCCCCTAAACCCTCCTTCAATCGCTCATTCTCACAAACCAATCACACACGCTCATTCTCTTCGTGAGTTCACACGTCCTCGCGAATCATTTATACCGTATGTACATAAATTTTAAAGATGAAAAACATAGTATGTAAACTCATTGAGTAGGAGGAAAACTAGTATTAAGATAGAACGATATCGAGTAACTGCTAATTTTCACAAAAATCATTAGAATTTTCCTTTAATTTTGTAACTCAATCGAAACTGATTTTTCTGAAAATTAGTCTAATGTATCTGCAGTGAGGTACAAAGCCGGAAATTTCATTTCTTCTCACAATTTTGTTTTTATTATCATTTTCAGTATAGAAATACACATAAGGGTAAACGTGATAGTCACATCTTGCCGTCGTTTTGTAAATAAATCCGTGATTAATCGTCACAATTTTTCATGCATTATCCCTTCATTTCGCGAGAATGAAATTGTTCAATGTTTTCGGCTGTCGACGCTAGTGAGATACTATCATTTTCTTTCACAAAAGCGGGATTTTGGGGTTGAATAAAGGGTAATCTCGTGTATAAATATGAAATAGAATGGGTAATTTTTAAGCTATGTACAAAAAAATTCAAGTAAAGAGATCCTACGGCAGATAGGGTGAAAAATAAACTCGAAGCACGTGAGAGTCCGCGTATCGCTGAAAGAAAGGGACAAAATTGAATAATTAAATTTTAAAAACCGTCGACCCAAACGAAACGACGATTTATTTTTTGAATGCCGGTCGACGTTGTGGAGAATAAATCTAACGACATGATTAATTTTGAACGAATAAATGAAGTAGAGAGAGAGAGAGAGAGAAAGAAAGAGAGAGTGAGAGAGAGAGAAAACCAACTAGCGAAACCCATAGCCAATAATCATAACACAATAATTGATTACGAGATTAAAAAATGAAAAAAAAATGAAAGAAAGAAATGAAAGACGAACACATCTTATCCTCGAGCAAACTGTACTTGCTATATGAGCTTCGACAAGTATTGGATAGTATTACATATTAAGAAAGAATTAAGGTAAAATGTACTTGAGTGAATGAGACGCTATTGTGCGTCGAATATCGATGATGTCGAGTATAGAAAAATCATTCATCATTCCTCATTTTGTATAAAATAAATGAATCGTGGACTCATTCTCATTTGACGCACTGAATTCATATGTTTCATTCACTCGTTAATATTCAACCGCCCACCAATCACAACATGAATGAAATAATAGAGTAATGAGATGAATGACGTAAAAATAATAATGAAATAGAAAACAATTGTAAAAATATCTTGTGTAAAAGAATGAGACTAAATGAATGAATTAACAGAAGGAACATAATGAAGTTTAAAAATTGCAGAAAATAGTAAGGGTTATGGGTATTTTCATCGATTGTCTGTCGAATCGAAATGCATTTTGGATATTTCGCGCGAGTGTCCCATGAATATCATCGATACATCGAACGGTCTATTGTCAGTGTAAACTTCCATTTGCCGATGCTGAGTGAAATTACTGATTGGATTTCGATTCGAGTACACTCGAGCAAAAGTTTTCAGATGTGATTAAGAAGAAAAAACAATCTAGGACGAAACCCTAATGTTGTTAGATCATATTAATTTTTAAGATTATCAAGTACTGTATATGTTACATTCTCGTGTACGATTGACGCGTCGAAATACTCGTTGGGAATGTACTTTTTGAACAATTTAATGTGAACAATTTTTTTTTCATTGATTCTTTCTGAATTTTAATGAGAGTGCAAGGAAATAGAAAAATGTGTGACGACTGCCAAATCGTTTTTTATATCTGGGATTTCGATGCGTCAATCGGTGGGCAGATTAAGACTAGCTCGGTTTATGCGTTTTTTTTTCCCAACGCAGTATGATCAACTTCGGTATAATGGTGATTATTCTCGTAATGCTGAATAGAAGATAAATTTTTAAACTATACGATTACATTTGCGTTCGTAATGGTGGCATTTTAAGTATTTTTTATTTTCGTATTGATTTTTTTTGGAGACAGGTGATGGAAGGGTGAGTGAACTCGCTCGTTTTGATGTCATATATCCTGTCAATTTCTGCTGAAGCCATTGTCGCAGTTGAAAAACTCGTTTGTAAGACATTTTTTTATGTAAGTTTAATTTTATATCGTGCAGTTTTATAATTTAATTTCTTATACCCTCGACTGATACTGTAGGTTTTTCGTTAGTATAGTTCTTCTTTTGCCTCACGTCCTGCGTTCATTGTTCTTTTCATTCGAGAGAAATGGAAAAAAATGGGGACATTTCATGTGTCATACACTCAATGACAGCATCCGGGCTCGTAATGAATTTATCGTCTCATTTCCCTGGACTTTTCATTGCAATTTCAACCCGATGGCATTTCCTTTTTACTCGTAAAATGGAAACCAATTGAAGTTGTGAAGAATGTGGAAATGGGGAATTGGAGGAATTAATCACATGAATGCATTGTTTTTCCTCCTTTGAGTACAGGAGATACTAATATCATACTGACGTAATTTTCCTGTCGCATAGGAATATTATCACGCCAGTTGCTGAATGAAACTCGATTTCCGATCGCAATATAATTATTCTTGTTTCTTATCGGGAGACAACTCGATTAATGCACTGTGAATGCAAACCAATAAATATCGACTCCCCATTTTTTTCCATCTCTCAGATAAACCGTAAAGTAAAAACAAAAACCTCTAGATATTCACCTGATGGAAACCTAAAACATCCAATCGCTATTTTTATCAAAACGAAAAAAAATATGTTAAAAAAAATCTTTAACAGTTATCCATTGTTCACTATTGCTATAATAAAGATTTGCTTTAATAAATGAGTCAGTGTCTGTTATTTGTCAATCTTTCGTTTGTAGAAAACCTTTTATGCAGAATATTCTCCACTTCTCCTCCCGAATTCAATAATTTATTAGCGACAAAGGGAATGCAAATATTATCATGCTATTTGCTGAATGAAACTCAATTTCTGATCGCAATATAATTGTTCTCCTTTATTATCAGGAGGAAAATCGATTAATGCACTGTGAATGCGAGCCAGTAAATATCGACTCCCCATTTTTTTCCATCTCTCAGATAAACCGTAAAGTAAAAACAAAAATCTCTAGATATTCACCTGATGGAAACCTAAAACACCCAATCGCTATTTTTATCAAAACGAAAAAAAATATGTTAAAAAAAATCTTTAACAGTTATCCATTGTTCACTATTGCTATAATAAAGATTTGCTTTAATAAATGAGTAAAAGTGTCTGTTATTTGTCAATCTTTCGTTTGTAGAAAACCTTTTATGCAGAATATTCTCCCCTTCTCCTCCCGAATTCAATAATTTATTAGCGACAAAGGGAATGCAAATATTATCATGCTATTTGCTGAATGAAACTCAATTTCTGATCGCAATATAATTGTTCTCCTTTATTATCAGGAGGAAAATCGATTAATGCACTGTGAATGCGAGCCAGTAAATATCGACTCCCCATTTTTTTCCATCTCTCAGATAAACCGTAAAGTAAAAACAAAAATCTCTAGATATTCACCTGATGGAAACCTAAAACACCCAATCGCTATTTTTATCAAAACGAAAAAAAATATGTTAAAAAAAATCTTTAACAGTTATCCATTGTTCACTATTGCTATAATAAAGATTTGCTTTAATAAATGAGTCAAAGTGTTTGTTATTTGTCAATCTTTCGTTTGTAGAAAACCTTTTTTACAGAATATTCTCTCCTTCTCCTCCCGAATTCAATAATTTATTAGCGACAAAGGGAATGCAAACATTATCATGCTATTTGCTGAATGAAACTTAATTTGTGATTGCAATATAATTGTTCTCCTTTATTATCAGAAAGAAACTCGATCAATGCATCGGCATAAGAACTACTCCAAAAGAATCTTCAACTTTTTGATCACAGTATTGTATTTTCGCCCTCTTCCCCACTCCCCTCAGATGTCCCCAGTTACCATTCCGAATTATCTTTCACTGAATTCACGTGAAAACCCATTTACGCTGTAACAAAAATTCACAATCGATGCATTTACTTTGAAGTGGTGGTTTATTTTTACCCCTCACCTCCAGCGGAATCAATCGTCATAAATGATGCAACGAGTGCCAGATACTGCTAATGGACGGATATATAGGCTCCCTCCCAAGTACGTCATATATACTCGAATGTATCAAGTCCACAGCGTGACGTCATGGATATGTGAGGGTGCTACTTTTAAAGTTTAAGTCAATAGGAAGCGGAAACATCAATTGCGTAGTGACGTCGCATGGGGTGGATGCCAAACGGTCATTCGCGCCGTGGACTTACATCGATATCATGACGTATACAGGTTTGAAATGAAATACACGGTTGGGTATAGTTTGGCAGAAATTATATCGTGGGGTACGGAAATGTCATTGAGAATATAGAACACCAGGAAACTCCAACCTCTATGACGTTAATTTGCAACGTTAATCCTCTCATCGTGACTTAATATAAAAAATTCATATGTGAATTTCAAAATCTATCGATTTTCAATTGAAATCATCAATGCACTTCATAAAATTGAGATGAGCTTAATTATTCAGATGATCCCAGCGAAAATTTTTCAGAATATCCTATCAATATTCTAATTAAATCCTCAAGCACATGGAATCAAAAACTCGGATGTGTGAAATTCACGACGTGATTTCATTCTAGATTTATTCTAGTATTTACCAGAGTTTTCTGGTTTCCAAAATGTACCGGAAATTTCAGACAAACATTTTCAGCAGTGAGGGCATAGTTTTGTAGAAATTATATCGTGGTGCAATGGAAATATCATTAACAATATAGAACACCGGAAAACTCAAGCCCCTATGACGTCCATAATCCCCAACGTTAATCCTCTCATCGTGAATTAATATAAAAAATTCACGTGTGAATTTCAATATCTATCGGTTGTCAACCTGAATTATTGATGCACTTTAGAAAATTGGACTGAGCTCAATTATTCAGATGATCGGAGAGGAGATTTCGTGAAATATCCTATCAAAATTTCAGCTCAATTCTGAAGAACTAAAATTCGAGGAGAATCATTATATGAAATGGTTAAAGTGTTCGCGTGATCACATTTACTGCAAAATTCATGTCCTAATTTACAGCAGTTAAGGTATAAATTATTAACTCCTCGAGATTCTCAGGAAATATGGGGGACAACGATGAGGAGAGATGCCAGTGAGGATTTTCGGGTGACTTATTACTCGAGATTCATCATGCATCATCGTCGGACGAGATTTAGAGGTCGATGAGAGGTAATTTTTAGGGAATGAACGACGAGGTTGCATGCACATGGGTTATGCAGATAGAATGTTAATTGGTCGGGTCATGTCGACCATTTTTTTCGTATATATTTGCCATGATTTAGAAGAGCGGGAATGGAATCATTAATGAAAAGCGGTTTTGTTATAATTAAGAAACCCGAGATATCGATTTTCGCTTACTCTAATTTTTCATTGACTTTAATTTTTCCCGCTAAGTTTTCTCAAGTAGAAATTTATTTCATAGAATTTCCGCGTGAATCGTCTTCACAGCCGCAATCGTTGTCTGCGCAATAGTGCCCCATCTGTTCTCCACGGGAGCATTCACGTTTTATATTGCTCAAGGACGCTTTTACATCATATCTACTCATCGGAGAAGGTGTGATCAGGAAGGCTGTAAATGCTTGGAGATTATGAGAATACAGGAACGCAGATGTACCACGGAAACTTTCTCCATTGGGGATTCGCATCATGTTTACTCCTATTTTTCATTCGCACTCTGAGAGAAATTAATTGTTCCGAGGTAGGTGATCAATATTCGGATCTATTCCCAGTTTTTTTGTTTACTAGTTCTAGTTTTTGTGAACTTTTCGCTTGGTTTTGGCCGATTCTGTTGAACAACTCCGCAATTCATCTGTCCGTTTTTTTTCAATAGAAATTTTTAATGAAAAATATTCTATCGAAAAAATCAACAGGATTCGGTTTTTATTATCAAATCATTGTATTGAGATATTTTCTATAGAATTTCTTCTGCTCACATTTTCCAAGTGTTGATCATTCTATTTATTTGTTTTTTTGAGGAAATTCTATAGAAAATATCTCAATAGAATAAGCTGTATAGAAAAATCGAAATCTGTGAACTTTTTCTATAGAATATTTCCCATTGAATTGGCCAAAAACCAATAGTCTATTGAATTCTCAATGTTTCTAAATGTTTAATATAATTTTCTTGATGAAAAGAGAAGAAAAATATAGTGGAAAAAACTTCGAAAATTTAAATCGACAAATTAAAAGACTCTCTCAATAAAATTTTTTTTATAAAACGACGGGATTCTACCGATTTTTATATAAAATATTTTCTATTGGGCATTCTCTCTAATAAAACGCGGAGTAATTATCAATAGTGTCATCAACAGTGAAGAATTTCAATGGAATTTTCCACCGAATCTTCAAGATTTTTCAATGAAGTTTTTCGTGTGTGATATAACATGGCAGTCATAGAATATCAATTGAGTATTTTGAATTGGAACCCTTCTTAGCGTCCTACTATAGTGAACCCCAAGCTCAACCCTTCAGAGTGTCTTTACCACTCACAATAGCTTCGTCTGGAGCACAACAAGCTGTGATAGGTCGACATAACCTTAGGAGAGGTCCCCTGTCAACAACGACAAAGCGCTAAACCGCCACTTTGAAACGGGTGAGTGTCACTACCATGTGCTGTACCAACAGGTCTCCAGAACACACTTCAATGCCGCTAATTTTTCAATAAAGTTCCTAAGAATATCTTCAACACGGTATATAAAGTTCTTCAGCTTTGGGGATTTCTATCATAATTGAAATGGAAACCTTTCACAGAAATTTTGAATACAATTCAGTAGTGAAGTGGTAAACGGAGATAAGTCGACTCATCTCTAGGAAAATTTCTCCGAAAAAATTCCCCCGGACAAAATTTCCCCGAAAAAACATTCCTCCGGACAAAATTCGACAGACAGAATTTCTTTTGAAGTCGTGCTCGTATAACCGGAACGAGGGAAGTTAGTGGTGGGGATATCAGTTTAACTGTGTTGGGTTTTCATCCGTTTTGGGTTTTTTAGGTTTTCAACTATTTGAACAACATCGCAAATATTATGAACTATTAAAGCAAGCAAGCATTTGGATTCATATCATTAAGCAATTAGTTTGAGTCAAAGTTTATTGGTTTGATGCATGTTATTAAGTGTGAATTCTTATTGTTTACTAGGGGGCTTTGCCCCCTGCTCGCTCCGCTCGCTTCGCTCGCTTCGCTCGCTCCCCCCCGTCCGTATGCACCGCAGCGGTGTGATCGTACCCATAAACATCTTCCATATGAGCACCCCCTAATATAGTAAGCTTCCATAAATATCGATATCCCTTTTATGACTATGACCACCCCCTCATATAGACATCCCTTATAAATACAGGCACCTCCCCATCCAGGAACCCCCGTATAGGCACCCAGCGTCCCCTGAATTTTCCGCCTTATTTTTTTATTTATATAGAGAGATTAAAGACTGTGACTTTCTTACAAGACTGCTGCGTGGAAATTTTTTTATGTCTTTCCTCTGTCCACATATTCAAAAAGGAAATTGTGTCCAGGGAAATCATGTTCGGGAAATTTTATCCGGGAAATTCTGTCCGGGGAAAATATCTCCTACCACCCTGCACTCACCCAATAAAAATTAGTGCTTCATTCCACCGCCTTCCCAAAAGGAAGAACCAAAAAAAATTTGAATAAAACACATTCTGGCAATATCCAGATGGTTGAAGGTAATAGACTTTGGCCCCACCTACTCAGTCTGGTTGA